TCTCTCTCTCTCTCTCTCTCTCTCCTCATTTTATACCCCTACTTTCGCCATCCCCACCCCCTCCCCCACTCACACACACACACCAGTGTAAACATTTTAATATAATGTGAAAGAGCTGAAATATGGTAGTGTCAAGAAACAATATTATGATTAATGTATGATGGAAGTTACTGAGTTGATAGAAACTGACTTGAACGGCATAGAAAAAGAAACACTACTAGAGTCTATACTAGAGTCTATACTAAAAAACACTGAAAATGAGAAGCGCGGTACTTTAAACAAAGACTTTATTTTCTACACACCCACACACAATATCGACATGCATTCGACCTGTAAATATTTAATAAGAACAGTACAATGACGCTGTCCCATGCAGATTTCGTTTACAATCAGATACTATACAAACCTGGACAAAGTTAGCACACAACAGTTTTCCATCATTATGTAATCAAACGTTCTTCATCACCCTTTTCAGTTCCCAGAACACTGATGTAACAAAGAAGGGAAGCGTTTCAAATGCTAATTATAGAACTTGGTGTCTAGCTGGGGTGACGGTGGATAAGGGGAGGGAAGGGAGGGGGGTAGGCCTGTTGTTTTCGGCCCAGACTCTGACAGCCGAGAGCCTATCGCGCCTCGTTGTAATTCTCCTTATGTATCTTCACTAGACGACTCCTCTTTTCGCCGGCTAGACTCATATGGGCCAGGCACGTTATTAGTGGAGAGAAAGCGAAGAATAGTCACCAAACAGGAACTATGGGTGGCTAAAAATTCAATAAACAAAAAAAAATTAGTCCCACGCTGACAACAAATGTTCTGGTGATAGTTAGAGAAAGGCTTAATGAGAAGTACATGTATTGCTAATAAAATATTTCATATGTCTGTGCTGCTCAAGACTCAAGACAGTCTCATTACTGATTTTGTAAGCAAAATGGAGGCTAATTTGGCAATCAGTGGATGCTATATTCGCTCTTAGGACAGTCGACGGATTTGCCCAGTGGACTGACGTCATCGTTGTTCCCGCTGTGACCTTTTATCCTCGTACGAAGTTCCGCGACGTGACGGCTTGACGGGAGACGATTTAAAGTTACGAGGCGGTGCGATAAACAAACAGGAATGAGCAGTGGCGGGGCGCCATTGGTGCAATTGGTGCAAGCACTCCACCTAACCTTGGCCTTCACACACCCCCTCCCTTTTCCAATTGTTCTAAAACAGTCAGTGCTCTCGATCTACAACTAAATCCTTGCGATCCGTCACCCGCTGGCTGCGCCAGTGAAGAGACAGACGGCGAGGATGGTTTATGCTCGTCGCACCGGTTGCGGTAGTGTCTGCTGGGAGCAAGCAATATCTTTGCACCAAAGTTATTTTTGTCACTATAGAGAAATGTAGGCATCGTCCTTCCCGCACGAGGAGAAAGATGCATGAAACTGCTCTTCGCGGCACAAATTTGGTACAAGCTAAAAATTTGATCCAAGTTTCCGCGAGCCCATCTACTACTCTGGTAGAGTCTACGGTAACTCAATGAAGAATGGGTATCGAAACTGTTGTCTCCCTCTATTGTGTAGCAAGTCCTGGTGCTGCACGAAGTAATTAGAAATCTTTAAATCTTCTCAGATTGTGAGCTTAGTGAGTTGTTAGTATTGTTTCACTTTATTGCAGCTTTTATGCGATTTCATCTAGAAACAGTTGTAAATATCGATAGATCTAGATTACGGGATATCCTGCAGATTCTAATTGACTTGATCTAGAAATTTAAATAGTAGCTACTAAACGTATTGCCCTTTTGCTCACTTTCCAATTATGCACCACCTTGTCTGCAACCCACGCGACGCCACTGTGAATGAGGCTCTGTCGCAACAAAACCGCAGTGAATCCCACTTGTCTATTTGAACGCCTTCAAATCGGCAAGGTGCTCTTTGAATGTTGATACACGTTTATTCGGATTTACTTAAAACTGAATGAAAACATCATCAGCAATAGATCTCTTGTCATCAGTCCAGTTGACAAAATTGTGACCGGCACCGCCGGTCTTGCCTAGTTAACAAACCGCCCCTGTCAATAAATACTAATTAAAAAATATAAAGTGGGTGGTTTTTACAGATTCTAAAATAAGGTTTACAGCTGGGGCAAAATCGCTTTTAAAAGCAAGTCTGTCAGGTTTTTCTAATCACGACATTGTGCTTATTGAACGCATGTTTTGAAAACCTTTAGTGCAAACAAGTGTTCATAATAAAATTAATTTTTGGAACAAGTTTTGCCACTAAAGGGTGTCATTGGTGAGCTGTGACGTAGGCCATAATATGCGTATACAAAATATGTGAGAAACGGGGAGTGCTAATCCCACTTTCTGCGTGATGGAAATAAATAATTTATTACATGAGTTGTGGTCACTGACCTAAAACTATATGGACTGCGCGCGCCTCGTTTTCAATACAGGCTTTAAGAGCGCTGCCCTGTTGACTGGCGGAAGTGCCCCAGCCGCCACATTGGAAAGGCCAGGTCACAGCTGACGGGCGAAGTTACCAGTTCACTTTCCACTGGCCTCTTTAGCCTCAGGCACTCAAGTTACTGTTGCTGTGCTGTTTTCGTCTTCTAAATTATTATTTTTGCACGTGTAAGATGCCCGGGTGCACTGCTTGGAAGTGTTCTAGTCGAGGAACACCGAGGAAGAGAAGAGAGGCTTTACTTTTCACAAGTAAGTAAAACTTTTGAGGCATATTGCTCTCCTACTACTGTTGTGTATGTGTGTGTAGTCTACTGTTGTGTGTGTGTGTTATTATAAAGGGAATGTATACAGACCCGGTAACCGGGAACAAAGTCACAAAGTATACAGACCCGTAGGGGAACTCTTTTGTGATTTCGGAAAGTTTCAGCGCCCTCTTGGCTCAGGGTAGACCACAGAATTCTACACTAAGGTAGACTTCTTCTAGATCTAGACCTATATCTAGATCTCTATTCTATGGTCTAGGTCTAGATCTAGACAGACAGACATAAATCATTGATCTAGTTTCGAGGCTAGCTTAGATCTAGATCTAGATCTAAATGAAGATTGCGGATGCCTTTTCGATGAACGATCGTTTTTCCTACGTTTTGGAGTTGGAGGAATCACAATTTGAAGAAAACAACAATGTCATAATTTCAATCGAGCAGTGCCCTCCCTATTTCTCTGCCTCTCTCTCTCTCTCTCTCTCTCTCTCTCTCTCTCTCTCTCTCTCTCTCTCTCTCTCTCTCTCTCTCTCTCTCTCTCTCTCTCTCTCTCTCTCTCTCTCTCTCTCTCTGTGTATCGCTCGCATTCTCTTTTTCTTTGTTTGTCTCTGTCTTTCTTTCTCCCCACCTATTTCCCACTCTATCTTCCTCTCGTTCCATCCTGCCAACTGGGGCATGTCATAATATACATTTTGCTAGCACTTCTCTCCTCTCTCTCTCTCTCGCTCACACACACACACACACACACACACACACACACACACACACACACACACACACACACACACACACACACACACACACACACACACACACACACACACACACACACACACACACTACCGGGTCTGGGCGCTGAAACTTTCTGAAATCATAAAAGAGTTCCCCTACCGGGTCTGTATACTTCGTGACTTTGTTCCCGGTTACCGGGTCTGTATACACTTCGTATTATAAATGTGTACAGGCTATCTTAGATTCTAGATCTAGATCTCTACTCTAAAAATCTTTTGCACTGACCTTCTTCTATTCCGTGGCAATTTCTGGCCTATGAATGAGAGCTCTGCACCTACATGAGCAACGGTGTAGTAGGCCTTCCCTAGTGAAGTGATGAACTTTAGACTTGATTTCTTATGGCATGGAGCCTTTATCCACCCTTTCAGATTGTGCCACAAGTGTTCAATTTTCTGCGTTTCAGATTTTTCTAGGTCCACTGTGATTTACAGATAATGTATACGAGTGGTCCGGTATTCTTCAATCTTCCCCTAGAATCTAGTGCTTAAGGAAAATTAGGCTGTCATGCGCAGTGAGTGGCCAATCGGATCGGCAAAAAGTAGGACAAAGATTCCTCAATTGGCCGATCAATACGCAAAAGTTCGGTAATATTTAATTCTACACCGCTTTTTAAATCATAACTCTCTTATTCGTTTGCGAAATAAATAAATATCATATTCAATTAATCTCCTTTTTTCTTTTTTAATGGAAGAGGCTAGCCGTACTTTATGACGACTAGACTGCTAGGGTAGCCGTATTTAATAAGGATGGCTGAATTGTAAATGAAATTTTAGCTTGCAATGCCTGTATAAATTTGTATTTCATACGAAACCAAAAGGTGCCTTACTGACCCTCTGTTAAGACGCAAAATGTCACACACTATTGAAACAATACTTTGTGAGGCATCGTGGCGAAATCAGGCACTCGTCATAATTATGATATTGAATAACCTGGCATTTTTCTGCCTGTTTGGCAATTTTAATTTTAATCGAAATTTTGTTTTCCAGGTGCTATTTGTAACGCCGCGTTCTGAATATCTCCCATGCTATTTGAAACGCTGCGTTCTGAATAGCTCTTGATAAACCTCCTAGGATTTGACTCCCATGACGTTGTCTTATTCCGAAAATCGACGAGCGCCTGATTCCACCATGCTGTGACACGTTTATTAACTTAGATGTTGGATATATGTACACATAAAAGTGAACACATACATACATCTGCTTCCAGGTTCCCACTTGGAGATCCAGACAGATCAAAGAGGTGGTTGGCAAACATGAGGAGGGAAGGATTTTCAGCCCACCAGGAATACGGTGATTTGCTCTGCTCACTTCGATGACAAGTGTTTTGACAGAACAGACCAGACTGTTCGATTGAGACCTGATGCTGCACCCACCCTGTTCGATTGAGACCTGATGCTGCCCCCACCCTGTTTGATTTTCCACCCCATCTCCAGAAGGTATGCTTTCTGCTTCAATGAGAAACACTATTTCTAAAGGCCACCTAGTTCTATTTAGGACTCGAATGCGATCAGACTTTTTATTTATTCGGACTCGAGTCTGAAAATGGGTTTTAGCTGTTCAGACTCGGGTCAGAAAAAATGTTTTATTTATTCAGACTCGTCTAGTAAGTGAGTAATGAGAGTGTAAGCTGAGAGTGCATGATCATGATCGTGTGCCACCTCATTGGTCGACATATTTAACTGTGCGCCCCCCCCCCTGGAAAGGTCACGTCAACTTGGTTGTTCTGTTCATACTAATGATGCAGGGAAGGAGGGCCAGTTTACATATCTAGTAATTGGATAAATTATATTAAAACTCATGTCTCGATCTTTATAATCGGAAAAAAATTCATAAATGCTGGAAATTTACGAGCATAGGTTTAGTTGTTTGATAACTGTGAAATATAAAGTGAAATCTTGGCGTAATATTCATTTGTGTAAATTCATCAATCTATACTCTGCCTAATCGGCCCAATTTTCGTTGTGTTTTGGACTTATTCGTACACCGATGTGAACGGTATACGCATTCAGGATTATTGTTTTTTCTGTTCTTGGTTCCTTGGGTTTTTTACGTCTTAAAAATTAACTAACCCTGATTTAGTTACATCGTATTGAATGGTTTTAAGCGAAATTGAAGTAACGTTTTAACATTTAGTAAATCAGTTTTTTCCTTCTCCTGGAAAATTATCTCTCTGGCGCTTACGGGGTCTGACCAGGGGGGACATTGATATATTTTTATGTGTGCATGTATGTATGTATGCATATATTTTTCATGAATATTATGTAAAGCACAAAGAACAATGATTGTAACAGGGATTTGCGCGATATGAATACATGTGAGTCAGGGTGGTGAAATCAGGCGCCCGTCAAAATAACGAAAGAGAAGAAACTGGCATTTTTCCTCCGATTTGTGAATTTTTATTGAGTTTTTGTCTTTTGGCTCAACGCCTTTCATGCATGCCCATTAAAGAACATAAAATATTTCTGTGTGGATTTTACTGAAAAATGTTGATTAAAGGCATAAAAGATGTGAATTATAAGTTTCCATGGGCTCTCGAGCTAAGGAAATAACTAATTACTAAAGTTTAATCGCAAAAATCTCGACTTTGTATCCGAGATAATTGGCATATTTTTTTTCATCGAAAGCAAAGCAAGTTGACAGGCTTTAAGATGATACCAATAACTCCAGTATATGCCCAAAAATTGATGGGCGCCTAATTCCACCACGTCGTGACACTTATTATTATTGCTATAATATAAGCGAACTAGTGAAATCCGAGAAGTAAGCATTTTATAGCCTGTTTGGAAATGGTTCCCCCCCCCCCCAATTTTTTTTTGGCTCAGCACCTTTTATGTTGATTTTAAAACACATTTAAGTGCGGATTTTGCAGAAAAGCATTGATTAAAGGCACACCAAAAAATTAAAATATTCATTTTGCAAGTACTCAAGCTATGGAAGTTACCAAACTTTGGTGGCCAGTTTCTCGCTAATTTTACCTCTGAAACCAGGCAACCCTGACCTTCTTCAATCGCAAATATTTCGACTTCTAGTGTAGATAGGCTTTTTTTCACCTCAAGGAAGGCAAATGAACAGGCTTTAAGCGTCGTGAAACAAATGTAAGAAAAGTGAAAGGGGGGGGGGGGTGCAAAAAGTCCCCAAAAAGATGTAAGATTATATTATTTGAACAGCCCCTAAACACATTTAAAATTGTTTGTTTGCAGACACCTGTACTGTAAAGCCAAGGCGTCATGCTGAACGCAGAACCGTCACTCCGTGGCTCAGCCAGAAGCTACTTCCAGTGCTGATCAAGAGGAGGCTGGAGAGAGTGTGGGTCCATCTTCAGTCATCAGTGACGACCATAGTTATGCGACTGTATGTGTATGTGCTCATTTTGTAACGATGTGTAAGCGTGCGCGTGTGATATAAGCAAGTAGACGTTGGTGTGTGTGTGTGTCGCGTGCGTGAATATTGTTCATACATTGTATACATGTATGCGTGCTGAAAAACTTGGCGATACTGGCTGTGGTTCTCATTGTGTGTGTGTGTGTGGCGTGCGTGAATATTGTTCGTTCATGCAGTTATGTAAGCGCCTAGAGCTGTGTTTACACGGGAGTGGGCGTTCTAGAAATTATCTTCATTATTATTATTATTATCTTATATATATATATATATATATATATATATATATATATATATATATATATATATATGGTGTGTTTCACTCTAGTTCTGATTGTGTATGTGTGTGTGTGTGTGTGTGTGTGTGTGTGTGTGTGTGTGTGTGTGTGTGTGTGTGTGTGTGTGTGTGTGTGTGTGTGTGTGTGTGTGTGTGTGTGTGTGTGTGTGTGTGTGTGTGTGTGTGACCCCGAGCAAAGCCGGGTGCTCAGCTAGATTTATTATGTATGTGTATGTTCTCATTTTGTAACGATGTGTGAGTGTGCGCATGTGATAAGCAAGTAGATGTGTGTGTGTGTGTGTGTGTGTGTGTGTGTGTGTCGTGTTCGTGAATATTGTTCGTACATGCATTTATGCGTGCTGAAAAGCTTGGCGATACTCGCTGTGGTTCAATTGATTGTTATTTTGTGCATACCTTCTACATCATACATGTTATGTTGCTCATCTCATTGTGTGGATGGGTGTGGCTGTGTGTGTGTGAGTGTGTGTCGCGTGCGTGAATATTGTTCGTACATGCATTGTGATCATTGTCTTTCTGAATAAAAATCTGCTGAAGATGACAGAGTTAAACATGTTCACGGTTATTCTTTTCTTCTTCTTTCTTTTCTTCTTTACTTGCTCCTCAGAGTCTGCGTTGCCATTTTGACTTAGACTTACAATGGGGCTCTCGTCGCCTCAGAGGTTATATGGTGTTCGCCTCTCATTCAATAGGTCCCGGGTTCGAATCTGGGTAGCGACAAAATTTTCTCCTCTCTCATTCTTTCCTGCTCTCTAACAACGTGTTGTCGTCTGCTTTCATCTCCACTTTCTGCCCTTACCGCCTTTTGGCTCCTGAAACTTTCTACAGTCTTTTCTACTGCTTCTTTTTGGCTCCGTCTTACTGCTGTCTTTCAGCCAAACCCCAGATCTTGTTTTAGATAAGATCCACACTACACCTAGCCTTCTCGGACAAGGGCCAAAAATCTCGGAGGCCCTGTGTGCAAGGACACGTTAAAGATCCCTTGGTGGTCCAAAATAAAAAAAGAAGAGTAGGCCTCAGCTGCAACCCGAGCAAAAATCAAAATTTCTACCAACTGAAAACTATTGGTGGGTCCCGGGCGCTCATAGAAGTCATATGCGAGCGCCGTAAAACACTTGCTAATTTTAACAACAAACTCAAACTCAAACACCAAAAACCCCCCCCAAATGCACCAGTCTCAAGGTCCACAGCTTAATGATCTTCGTTTTCTTGTGTTTTGTTAATGCTTTCCATCTTGACTGTAGCCATGCTACCCTTCTTTCTCTCTCTTTATCTCTCTGTTAGAGTTAGACATGATTCTATTCACTAGTCATATATTGTGAATAAATCCTTTTATTTTCTTGCACATCGATACCAAATATCTAAATATCTAAACGACTTGTCAAAGTGGTCCCATCCCAATATATCTGTTTACAAAGACGTTTATGCCCGCTTGTTGTTGTTTTTTGCCTCAACCCCCACCCAGTGCCTCTAATAAAGTCTATTATTACTATTAAATTCTCACTACTGAGCGTGCGGCGCTCGCAGAGTTGGCCTATTCAAGATGGCGGCCGGTTAGTTACGGGTTTTCCACGGCGCGCGCAGTCCATATCTTTTTAGGTCAGTGGTTGTGGTGTAAGATCATGATTTATCCTACGAGTGAAATTGCCAAGTTGTAATCATGCGTTTCAACGAGTGATTACAACTTGCAATTTCACAAGTAGGATAAATCATGGTCTAACACCACAACGAGTGTAATAATTTTTTTTATACCATACTGACATCAGCTGGCGAAATACGTCCGTACCAACAAAGTTCAAAGGGCCCGTCAATTGAACAAGAGGGTCCATTCTAGAGTCTCACATGAAAACATTTTCATGCCCGTCGAAGTCAGATTGAGAATTGGGGAAAATCTGGATTGTTTTCCTTTACTTTCAGCCACGCTAATTTACAAGTTGTGCTATCCGTGTGTCTCCCTCCGCGAAACAAGCCCCAAACAAAACTATCATAACGTAAATATAAGCAAAGTAATCAGAAAGTGTACGATTCAAAAGTTGAAAGAAACTGCATTAATATAAATCTAGCATGTTTTTGTTAGAATAGAGATGACTTGAAAAACAAAGAAAGAAAGATATTAAAAAGTTGTTGGGTTTTTTTTTACCATCTAGCATAAGGCTGTTGTCAGAATAAGCATCAATGTGCATTGCTCTTTCAAGTATGTATCTATAAATAACTCTAAAGGTCTTATAATCAAATTCTTTCGTGAGGTTGAATGATGCACCTCAAGTGAAATGTACATTTTGTCTGCTTTTAATTTTCCTTTCATATTATTTTAAAAAATTAGAAATTTTAATGAGAGAAATAATATATAGTTTAAATTTTTATGTATACCTGCATGTGTCTTTACGGTCGTGTATAGCCAAGAAAAATTTTCCTCTGGGATGATAAAGTATTATCTTATCTTGTCTTATCTGATCTGATCTGATCTTATCTTATCTTATCTACTTATACCTTGATGTTATCGGTCTTCATTTGTCTTTGTTCAATTTATACCCTTTTGCCTCACATCTTGTCTTCGAATTTTTTCTTTATAATGGTATTGTGTCGCTTCGTGTGACCATCAGCTGTGCATTAGATAACATCTACAAACACATAGACACACCAAGAAATTACTGCAGGATACTTTTTGCTGATTTTTCATCCGCATTCAACACAATCCAACCGCACATAATGGTTTCAAAATTAATTAACATGAACATAAACAAGAACATTATAACTTGGATTCCTGAGTTCTTAACCAATCGACCTCAATATGTAAATTAAATGGTGTAAAATCCGACCTAATATTCACGAACACCGGTGCGCCCCAAGGCTGTGTAATCTCCCCTGTCTTGTTTACGCTCTACACCAACGACTGTACTTTTGATAAAAAAACCCATAAAACTAATAAAATTTGCGGATGATTCCATTCTACAAGGCCTTATAACAGCAAATGAGAATGAATACAGGGACGCTGTGAATCTATTTACAAATTGGTGTGATAACCACTTCCTTTTACTAAAAGTAAAAAAGACAAAGGAATTGATAATAGACTTTAGAGTATAAAAAGAACAATTGCAACCACTATTTATTAAAGATGAAGAGGTGAAGGTGATAAGTTCTAACAAGTATCTTGGTGTAACAGTCGACAACAAACTTGACTGGCATCCCCACGAGGCTCTTGTGCATAAAAACGTAAATCAAAGAATGTTTCTTTTAAGGAAATTAAAAAGTTTCCGTGTTGACAATAAGATTATGTCCCTTTTTTACCATTCTATGATTGGAAGTGTGCTATTATTTTGTATTTGCTGCTGGGGTGGGAATTGTATGGTGAAAGGTAAAGAAAAATTTGACATAACCATTAAGAAAGCCAGCAAGATCTCTGGATATGATTTTAATAGAAAGAATGAAATGTATAACACCACACGTATAAAAAAGATCAAAAGCATTAAAAACGACCCATAACACCCCTTTTCCTCACAAATTGTAAGATCACGCAGCGGCAGATATGTACCTCCAAAAACAAAGAAAGAAAGATGTAAAAGAAGTTTTGTACTATCTCGCATAAAGCTTTTGTCAAAATGAGCATAGATGTGTGCTCTTAGAGTAGGCCCTATGTATCTGTATATACAAATGTAACTCCAATGGTCTAGTATTCAAATTCCTGCATGTGGTTGAATGATGCATTTGGTGTAAATGTACATTTGTCAGCTTTACTTCTCCTTTCATATTGAATTTTAATGAGAGTAATATATATATAATCTAAATTTTTTATGTATACCTGCATGTGTTTTTACGGTCCTGTACAGCCAAGGAAAAGTTCCCTCTGGGAAAATAAAGTACTATCTTATCTTATTATGTTGTTGCAGTAACGGCGAACGATTGTCCTAACCCATCTCTCTCTCTCTCTGTCTCTCTCTCTGTCTCTCTCTCTGTCTCTCTCTCTCTCTCTCTCTCTCTCTCTCTCTTTCTTTCTCTTTCCCTCTCTGTTTCTCTCCCTCCCCCCCCCTCTCTCTCTCTCTCTCTCTCTCTCTCTCTCTCTCTCTCTCTCTTTCTTCCCCCACCCTCTCGGTCCTCAGCAATAGATCCTGTTCGAGGAAGAGCTTTCGAGGCTCAAGATGACATCGGTAATACAGTTGTGTCAGTTAACAAATAACGGTTGCGTAGCAATCGCCTATCGTGAGTGTTGAAAGATCCAGAATAGTCCAATACGAAATTCACGCCTGGATGTGATTTTCTTTTTTTTTTGGTTTGTTTTAGTTTTAGTAGAGGTTTTACGGCGCTCGCGACTGCATGAGGTCATATGAGCGCCAAGGGCTGGATGTCAACAGAAAATTTAAAAGGTCTTACAGCGAATCAGACTCGCTCTGCTCACCTCTCTAGCTTCAACAGCACAAAGCCCGCTTCGACTATCAAGGCACCCCGGAAATAGTACGTCACAAGAGTGTGACAAGCATACAAAAGAAATAGAGGACAATGACAATAGCAAGGATTAGGAAAGAAAAGGCAGCAGTTCCCTGTTGTACACCAGGCATAGTTATGAGAGTGACATTGATGAATCAGCCCATTTATAATTCTATTGTGCATGAAGGAGAGATGTCCCCCCCCCCCCCCCCCCCTTTGGGAATGGCCTAAAGACACTTCAGTCAGTGGCACCCCCGTTCGAAAAAAAAAATGATGTACTTCACTTAGAATTCTTTAATTAAACCTTTATGTCGTTTTGGTTTTGTCGAATTGCAGTTTTTAGAAAAATTCGGCAGTATTTCATTCATTCTTCCCAGTTCAAAGTGTTCAACAGTATAAGTTTTGTTGGAGTACTCTGTTCACTGAAGCTGTTTCATTGTAGTGTTTTAGAATTGCAGTGAATTTTC